TGACTGTAAAATTTACATGAGAACATCAAGAATCAAAATGCAGCCAATACAAAATTAGATTAATACTACCTGATTACAAGACTTTTAGTGTAGAAAAACAAAACAAAACAAAAAACAAACAAAAAAAAAAGACTTTTAGTAAAAAAATACAGAATCTAGAAACAAGCTCATACATCTATGGACAACTGATATTTGACAAAAATACAAAAAATAAGGAGGGAAAGGATAGTCATTTTAACAAATGATACAGAAACAATCAAATGTATACATGCAAAAATGAACTTCAACCTATACTTTGCACCATATACAAAATTAACTCAAAATGCATCACAGAGCTACATGTAAAACTTAAAACTATAAAACTTATTAGACTGAGTGTGACAGATGCCTATAGTTACAGTTACTTGGAAAGCTGAGGCAAGATCACTTTAGCTCAGGAATCTGAAGACAGACTAGGCAATACAACAAGACCTCCACATCTTTAACAAACAAGCAAAATAAACTTCTGGGGATTTTTTTGGAGTGGGGGTTGTTTGTAGTAGTACTAAGCATTAAACCCTTTTTAATGAGCCTTCAAACTAAGCTACATCCCCAGCCCTATCTATCTATCTACCTATTTTTATTTTGAGACAGTATCTTACTGTCACTGAACTGCCCACCTGGGCTCCAACCTGCCATCCTCCTGCCTCAGCCTCCCAGAATGTTGGGATTAGAGGCATGTACTACCACAACTAGGTCAAAACATACTTTTAAGAGACTTAGCCAATCAACTGGGAACCTAAGACTTGAAAATTATGTACCTGATAAAGGATACGTATCCCAAATATATAAAAAACTCTCAAAACACAAAAAGCAAGCAATGTTACTTTTAAAAATCTATGATGATACACAAGTAGTAAATAAACATGTAACAAGATGCTTAGCACTATTAAGGAAATGCCAATATGTATTAGAATGGCTAAAATTAAAAGGAGTGACCATATAAGTGCTGGCAAGGATACAGAGGAACCAGAAACTTCATACACTTCTGGTGGGAATGTGAAAAAGTACAGGCCCTTTGGAAAGTTGGCAGTGAAACATAACACCTACTAAACAACAGGGCCTTTCCATTAGGTATTTGCCCAATAGAAGTAAAAGTATCCATCAATGCAAAGTGTTATACAAAAATGTTTACAACATTTCACACCCAACAGGTTAGGGGATAAACACTTTACGTCCACATGATAGAATATTAATGTGCAACAACAAAGAAGTACTGATACATCCTATGACAACTCTCAAAATAATTATGCTAAGTGCAATACTACATACAAAAAGAGTACATACTGAATGGTTCTATTTCTCTATAATTCTCAAAAACATAATCTACAGTGGCTGCATGGTCAAGGAGAGAAAAGAGAATGATGCAGATACTTATTTTCTTGATTATGTGACAGTTTCATAGGTATATATGTCAAAATTTATCAAGTTATATAAGTTTAAATAATTGAAGCTGGGCATGGTTTTGCACACCTGTAATTGCAATACTCTGGGAGGCTGAGACAGAAGGATTACAAATTTGAGCCCTATCTGGGCAACTTAGCAACTTGGCAAGACTGCTTCAAAATAAAAAACTAAAAAGGGCTAGGAATGTAGCTCAATGCAAAGACTTTGGGCTGGGGATATAGCTCAGCAGCACAGCACCTGCCTGGCAAGCACAAGGTCCTGAGTTCGATTCCTGCTACAAAAAAAAAAAAAATATTAATGCAAAGACCTTGAGTTCAATCCCCAGAACCACACAAACACCAAAAAAAACAAGATTTGTAGTTGATTATGTCAATTACACATTAAAAAGCTAGTAAAAATGATCCTTATTTTTACCCTTAAAGCTGATAGCATTTGTTGTGGCTTGTGTCTAGATGTCCCCCCAAAGCTTCATGCAGTCATAGGCGGGGCTTTTCCAGAAGTGGCTGGTTCTAGAATGTGTGATGCTGGGATTAAGGGTGTGAGAGTTATAAAATGAGTCCACTGATTGGTCCAGCATATGTGGTGGATTGACAAGTGGTGGTCAACTTGTAACACCCAGCTGAATTGAGCCAGCGTGGTGCTGGGTGTGAGACACCCACCTGAAGACTGCTGCCAGCAGCATAAGAGGCAGAACTGGAGATGAAGAAGAGGCTTTTGGGAGCTGAAAGAAGCTCTTGGGAGCTGAGACGTGTTGGGTGCTGTTAGAAGCTGTAAGGAGCTGTTGGTTCTCATGGAGGAGCTTGTCATGTTGGCTTTCATGACAAACTCGGCTGTTCTCATCGTCTGAGGAGCTCTGGACCTTGTTGTTGCTGACAATGGCTTTGGTTCACTTTGGGGGAGCTCTGGTCCTCACTTTCAGCATGGCTTCCCGACTCCAGAGGGGAAGATGGTACACTGCCAGTCTCCTGGAGAAGCTTGTTGCATTGGCTTTCCTGATGGAAACTCAGCTGTCCCGATCATCAGAGGAGTTCAGGACCTCACTGTTGCTCAGGATGGCTGTGGTACATTTCAGAAGAGCTCTAGTTCTTACTTTGAGCATCACTTCCTTGCTCCAGTGTAGATCCCTCAGCCTGCTAGCATTTCGATGGCACAGACTTTCTAGATTCCACCACTGACCTCTGGGCCTTCGCAGCACAGATCCATGAAACAGGCCTGCGTGAGATATTGTTATGGTCTCTGGGCCTCCAGTTGGATTTGTGGGAAACACTGTTATGGGTTCTAGGTCTTCAGCTGAACTCATGCAGGACATTTCCGTGGGATGCAGGCCCTCCACTAGATTCCTTGGTCTACAGTGTGTGGACAGATTTCCTGCACTCTTTTGTGTATCATTCTTTGGGTAACTATTATAAACAATCTTTAAAAATATGTGTCCTGTATTATATATAGTTTCCCTTAAAATAATCCCAAACCATAGTTCTGGGTGTCGATAATGGGAAGGCCTACCTTAGGTATAAGTGCTATGTGCCCTAAGGGTGGGTAGCCTGGATAGAACATAAGGGACAGAAAGAGGGCTGCTGCCTTTGCTTGCTGCTTGCTGCTTTGCTTCTTCACTATTTTGCCATCTTGGGCTTTCTCCTCTCCTATGCCTCTCTGCCATGTCACCCTGCATTGATGCCAGCCAACTATGAACTGAAACCTCTACAAACTGCAAGCTAAATAAACCCTTCCTCCTTTAACTTGGGTATTTTGTCTCAGCAATGAGAAAAAGTAACTAAAACAGCACTGTACACTTTGTGCTACAGTTTAGATCAAGAATGTCCTCCAGGCAGCCATGGAAGTGCACACTTGGGAGGCTGAGGCAAGACGATTGCTCAGAGTTCGAAGCCAGCCTGGGTGACATAGTGAGTTCAAGGCCAGTCTGAATTGCACAGCAAGACCCTGTCTCAAAAAAATCGAAACTAAATTAACCAATTTTAAAAAAAGGAATGTCCTCCAAAGGCCTCATGCACTACAGCAGGGCTTTGGGAAGGTGACTGAATTATGGAGGCAACAAAGTTGACTTACCGTTGGGAGGTCAGGCCTGGTCAGATGAGGCTGGGGTCACTGAGGGCATGACCTACAGGTCCCTCTCCAGCTCCTCCCTCCTTTCTATCTGTCTTCTTACCACCCTGACATGAGCAGTTTTCTTCACTCTGCCCCTCTGCCATGCCATTCTGCTTGGAGCCAGCAGACCATGGACTAAACTGTAAATTAAAACTAACCTCTCCTTCTTTAAGTTGTGAGAGGGGTACTGTGTCTCAGTGACAAGAAGAGCGACTAAGACACCTTGGCTGAGCACAAAAGATTACTCTCCATTATAGGTCTTTCTAGATGATGCCCTACAGAGCTTCTAATAATACAAAGAATCCAGAGTACACATTCCAAGCAGAGTAAACAACCATTCCACTCCATACTCACTATGAGAAAAAGATGTACTGTATTGATATATTTATAAATGTAAATGTATAGATACATTTAAATGTATGTAAATTTACATACATTTAAATGTATCTATACATTTCATAAATGTA